GAAAGAAAATAATAAAAATCTTCATAGGATATAGAGTCAGCAGCTTGTGCTTACGCTATTCGATATGCGTGACGTGAGCTGCACGTGCGCCGTGTAATTTTCAAATTGTGTCGAGGTATTTTTAGTCAGACACGGTTCAAAGGTCAATAAAACAAAAATTAATAAATATAAATAAATGTATACTGTTATGAGATTTAAGCTATTTAGAATAAAAAATTGTGGTTTCCTGTAACAATTTGCAGTTATTCTAAAACAAAAAAAGGTAATTTAGATTTATTTCCTAATTTTTATGATGGTTACGAGGTTGGTCAAATCGACCAATAATTTAATATTGATTAAATAACGGATTAAATATAAAGTTTTATCCAAAAAACGTTTGATAATTATCTAGAAGGATATAGTGATTAAGCGAATAAAACTTAACAAATTTCAAATAAAGAAAAGTATTTTTAATCTTAAAATCAAAATTACTTTGCATGTTGGACAGTCAACATACTGAAAGAAACATTTCACAAGCAAATCTTTAATAAAAAAATTTAATACTTAATTTAAAAACCTGATATTTTGTACATGAAAGTATTGTAATGTTTACTAATAATCTGCAAAATTTTGTAAAGATTTGCTTAAATTATCAAAAATTATAGTACAATTACTCACATGGATACTTTCTTGGTTATTTTTATTTTATTTTTATTTATTTATTTGTAATTAAGCACAAAGCTACACAATGGGCTATCTGTGCTTTGCCCACCACGAGTATCGAAACCCGGATTCTAGTGTTGTAAGTCTGCAGACATACCGCTGTGCTACTGGGGGGCTCTTGGTTATGTGCTGAGTGGATTCCACACAGCCCGCATTCATAGGGTTTATTAAACAAAAAATTAATTCAAAGGATTCCAGCATTTTAAGTCAAAGCATTTTTCTTATCTTCAGCAGCCAATTGTCATTAAACATTTCAAAATTATCATCTCCATACACAATAATCTCACATATGTGAAGTAAGATTTGATGACATAAACCGAACCTTTCCCAACCTTCAGTATTCTCAACCCACCATGTAATTTATACATTGAATAGTGGAAGATGTGATGAAGCTGCTCTATGCTGGATGTCCTTTTGATGAATTGTCTTTAATAGTTCCACACGTTTGAGTGATTATTTAATCCAAATAGTTATTCATTTAACTCGATTGATACAATTTCGTATTGGTGGAACTGAACATGAATTTATAATAGCAAGATTAAGCGAGTGACCCACGCAATGAGTGTACAAGGCCCTACTTTGCATATCTAGAATTTGTTTTAGGGCACCAGGCCTTTTGCTAGCTATGGCGGATGCTGCATCATATCCTTGACCATGCAATTCATTCAGAGATAATCCAACATCAGTCCATATATTTATAATTGAACATACAATATTTGTTGTTCCGACCCTCTGTAGCTTAACAAAGCCAATAAATTCTTCCCTAATTTCATGGTTGTCATCTACAAAGCGGAGACATAGTGGTAAATGTTCCATATTGTGAGAAGACACTTCATGAGCAAGAACATAGAAAAATCCAGCCTTTTTTTACTTCTTCAACAATTCTTACTCGGGTTACATCATATCCTATGACATTGAAGTTGTCCTTTTGTGAGCAGGGAGATAAACATGTAGCTATTTTTGCCTTGTGATGATACAAATGAGCTCACAGTATTTCATCATTTTCAACATAATGTTTTAGCAAGGCCACAAATGTTTGGAAGAATTTACATCTTCGGTATCACCACAAAATGCTAAGCCTTGTTTTTCTAAGAACAAAATGACACGGACAATTTGATGAAGAATAAGTTTATTCTGAGTTATACGTGATTGAAGGGCACTGTTGGTAATAATATCAATTCTATTGGATGATGGATGTTCAGTGGAAGCCTTCAAAGCATCAGCAGCCTACATAGTATCATCAATTTTTACTCAGTTGTTAAATGATTTGTTGACAAGTGATACTTTAAGAAGAAGGGTGCCACTTGAAGAAGGGTAGCACAAGGACCAGAAAAACTGCCCTCCAATTTTGTATAATAACCATGGGTATTTTTGAAGCCAGGCTATTTTAGATTTGCTTTAGATTCACGAGAAAAAGAGAACATTTGGTGGTGCCACATGTTTATAAAGATAGGAATACTTTTCAGCATTTGATAGATTACTAATAGCTTAGAATTTTTCATCAAGGGATTGTGTTGGTGTCAATAAATTGCCAGTGTAAATGCATGGCTCAGCGACTACAGAAATACCATAACAAATCTATGATGAATCTATGATTGCTTTAGTGCAGCATGATGATGATGGTCCAGGAAGAACAGAAGAACATTTATTGCCAGCCCCAGAGAAAGACTGAGATGGTGACTGAGTTGTGTCATATACAGTGTCTGAGAGTAAAAATATATAGCAATTTTAAAGAGGCGACCATTATTTAGCTTTTATATAACATTACAGTTTATATAATAAATGAAATGTATAGTAAAAATTGTTGTTGTACTCATCTATATATATATGAAATATAATATCATGTATACTATTCATGGATTAAACACAAACTTTGTAATTTAAGTCACCAGAGATATGCATAGCACAACACAAGATAGCTATTTTAATTGCATGTCAAAGGCTATATTAGCTACTAAAGCAGTAAAGTTTCATAATACTGTACCTTGGTCGTCATTTCTAATCTTCTTTTGTTGGCCATAAACATTTGTTTATCACTGCAATCAGTTTCACTTAGGCACTTCATTCCGTTCATTAAGAAGTGTCGAAGGTTTAGCTTATATATATCATATACTGTATTGTCTCGCGACTCTTACTGGTATAGAATATAATTTTCAAATGGGTTTAAGATTAGTACAATTCTCAGCTCCTTCCTTGTACGAAAAAGAAAACCTACAAAAATGCTAAATCTCAAATCCACATTTACTTTATAGTTCTACTTCCGTGACATGATGAAGCTTGTTTGTGCTCAAAACCACGTGTAGCTGTTAGGTATACATGACTGTTTCAATTTAAGTTTTAATTCGAGTGCTATGACATGGATAGTTTATATAACATGGGTGTCATATTTAGTTATTTTTAGAAGAGAAAGTTTATGACAAGTTGGTTTACATAACTGTTTACGAATCATACGTTGTTTTGCGTGTAGGGTCAGTTGCTTTGAATTAGCAATTGTTATATTGTTGCATTATGTAACTAGAACTTTCTGAATTTTTCTAGTTGTTTTAACTGATATTATTGCATCAGAATATCTAGCATTGTGTGGAATCTTCTAGACATCGTCGGTGTATAAATACTCATCGAAAGTTTATTATTTAGATCTAGACTGCGTGATTTTGAATTTAGCAATAAAGAGCATATAGTGACAAGTTTTAAAGTAAAATTATCACAGACTGTATTGTAATAACAGAGCAGAGAATAATAATTCGTCTTATCAATTGTGTTCTAAAGTAATTGAATCAGCCTATGTGGATTTTGATAACTAACAGTGTAAAGAACATTTGTATATATGCTTGACTTGGTTTAATAAATTATTTTAAAGACAAGTGGAGTGTGTTGCTGTTTGTTTATTGTTCATATTTATCGCCAACTACGGTAAAGAATCCATCCTACAAAACCTAACAGTAGCAATATGGCTTCGGCCTTCCAATTACAAAGTGTCAACAGAAGCCATTGTATGCGACTATTTCAAGACAAAAAATGCTAATGCTTCATCAGAAGAATGTATACTATGTAGAAAATGTCAAATACCATAAGCAGCTATGCTATAATTATTTTAGCATAATGTTTTGACAACACAAAAATTGGGGTTTGGTCAAACCCCCTTGATCCCCCTCCCTGCGTACGTGCATATTAATGAATAATCAATCATTTTTTGAGTATGTGTCTTTCTGTTTCATATCCGAGCAAATAGGACATTCACAATGGTAATTACTGGTAAACACTTAGAACAAGTATCATCGTATTTTTGTACTTATAACTGACATAGTGTAAAAATTGTTGTTGCTACCTGCTCTTGATAAATCTTATCAATTATTTTTTGTTTGCTACTTTCTGCTTCATTCCTTGATACAAGCTACTGTTTTCCTATTATTATTTTACCGTTGTATTAATGTTTTTGTCACAGGTTCTTATCTTTACTTTGGCTTGGTCTGAATTTCGCGGAAAGATACATGATAGTTATGTGCGATTATCTAATTTAGCAGTGAAAGACCAGAGGGAAGGCAGCTCCTCATCCCCTCTCACTGCCAACTCTTGGACTACTCTTTTGCCAATGAATAGTGAAATTAACCGTCACATTATAATGCCCACACGGCTGAAAGGGCTAATATGTTTGGTGGGACGGGAATTCGAACCTACGACCCTCAGATTGTGAGCCAAATGCCCTAACCACCTGGCCATGCTGGGCCTATTTACTTTGGCTAGACATGAATCAGTAGTTAGCGTGTCTGGAGTGTGAATCAGGTTCGTGACTTCTTAGTGCAAAAACGGTACTTTGCACTTTGCGACCGTGGGTGTGTTATAAGATTGACAGTCATATCAAATCAATACTCGGCTAAACAAGAGTAGCCCAATAGTTAGCAGTTGGTGCTGTTGACTAGTTTCCTTCCTATTAGTGTGTTACTTAAAGATTAAGGATGGATCTGTGTATCTATGCAAAAGTTCTGAAAGAAACAAACAAACCCTTAGTTGGGTAGATTGATATCCATATAGATATTTGCTATTGTCAGTTAGCTGTATTTTGTAACCATTACGTCTATAATGATTAATGATTTTTTAAGGAAAAAATAAAGAGCAAATAACATATTTGTATTCCAATTCTCAGATCAAGAGATCAGAATATATTCAGTAAATCTGTAGATAGTCTGTATGCTTTCATAATACCAAGCATAATATAAAAATTAGAGAATCTTAATCACCACTAAATTATGAATAGATTTTTAAAATATATTTTAATTCGTGTCATGTTTTCTTCACAGATGACTTGTTTACAGCTGTAAACGTATGTCGTACCTGGACGCTCACTAGCTATGGAAAGGACAACAAACAGAATTATGATGATGGTATGCTCTTTACAGTGATGAGCTACAACATTCTTGCTCAGGACTTGCTGGAGAGCAACATGTTTCTCTACGAGCATTGCTCACCTGAATGTCTAACCTGGGAGTATAGGAAGAATAACTTATTGAAAGAAATAAGAAAAGCTGCAGTTGATGTAAGTCTAGCCAAGACTAGCCATTAGCAACTAAAAACTAAAAACTTTGGTACCAAAAGTTATTCTGTATGTAAGTCTAGCCAAGACTAGCCATTAGCAACTAAACAACTTTGGTACCAAAAGTTATTCTGTATGTAAGTCTAGCCAAGACTAGCCATTAGCAACTAACAACTAAAAACTTTGATACCAAAAGTTATTCTGTATGTAAGTCTAGCCAAGACTAGCCATTAGCAACTAACAGCTAAAAACTTTGGTACCAAAAGGTATTCTGTAATACCTCAGATAGTCCAAATATAATTAACTGGTATAAAAGCTCGTCAAAAATGACGAGAAACCATTGTTGAGTTATAGAATTCAACTAAAACAAATTTGTCTGTACCTCCAAAACGCACCTACTCTTCACTTGTTTCATCAGTCTTGAAGTAATTCTTTAATCACCACATTTTTAATAAAAACTATGCAGAAAAATGAAATGTTTTCTTGAAGAAACGTACGTGTGCACTCTGAAAGAGACTTAAATAGCACTCTTGAGCTTTTTCATTGTATTCTAGGTCAGGAAATAGAAAACATAGTGTGGACATTCCAACACAAATTTTCAACTCTTTCGACTGTACAAAGGATAAAAGATGTTTGGTAGTAATAAAAGTTTATTTTTCTGTATGCTTTAAGGCCAAGTAAGTAATATATATGTTAAAATACCAAAGAGTATTTATTAATTAACATTTATTCACCACTAAAAAGTTTTTAAACACTGACGCAAATTTTCAATTCTTTCGGCTGTACAAAGGATAAAGGATAATTAGTAGTCATAAAAGTTTATTTTTCTTTATGTTTTAAGGCGAAGTAGGTAAACATTACAAAAATCGGGGTTTAGCCAAACCCCCTTGATCCCCCTAATAGGCCTATTTGTAGTCTAATTTTAAGCACGACTGTTTCCATTTAAGTATACCTCGATTGATAAATAAAATTATTTTTAGAAATTATAGTTCATCAAAGGTTTGTTTATGCAACTGTGTACGAATCATCATTGTGGAATTCAGTTGTTGCGAATTCGCACTTGTTGTATTATTGAGTATTATTGCATCATATTATCGCATAATGTTTAGAATGTTATAGGCCTCTGTCAGTCTATACATACACATGCAATTAGTGAAAAACCACAGTAAATAGAACAAACTGTCAGAAATCAGGTATTAGAGAAACTAGTTTCAACACATTTGTGCATCAGACTGAAGAGGACGCAAGAATGTGTCGAAACTAGTTTCTCTAATATCAGATTTCTGACAGTTTGTTTCATTTACTGTGGTTTTTCACTAATCTATACACGATATTGTATTATTTTCATTATACACCTACAAAATGTAGTTAGTTAGTTAGATAAATAGCTACAGCTAGATTGTGGGTTTGTGAGTTTACCTGTAAAAAGTGTACAATAGACTTTTGATGAAAAGAGACAATTACTCAAAACTCTGGATACAACTGTGGTAACTAACAGTGTAATGTAAGTGAAATTATCGCCAATTGTATTGTAACAACGGAGCAGAGGAGAATAATTCGTCTTGTCAATTGTGTTTTAACGTAATTGGACCAGCCTGTGTGAACTGCTGTTGTTGCCTTGAAAACCTTGCTGGAGCCCACCCCACCTTAGTTGCTTGGGACCAGGATGCACCTAGAGCTAAGAAGCTCATCTTCAGCTTTAGGATGTAGTAATCCTGTCAGAGTGAACACATCCATGTTCTCCTTCTCATCACCATGCTGCATCCTGCAATGGAGCAAACCACATGACCACTTTTCTTGATCTTCACTTCCACAGTTTGTGTTAACAGCAGTAATAAGCCCTGATATTGGGTGTGCTTGAAGGCTCAGTTCCCCAGTCAATGGTATAGATGGTAAAAGTCTGAGGCTGAGGACGTCACTTGACTCCCCAGCAGCATCAGAGCTTTTTTAGCCATCACAGGCAGTTCGGCCCGAGAAGACATCACTGCTAACTTGTTCACTGATTCTGCGATTCTCCCAAACCAGACAAGATGCCCAGCAATGCATCTCCATCCATTAGTTCATTAACAGTGAGCAAAAATCAACCCAATGCTTTCAATCTACATGAAAACTTCACACCCATATCTGTAAAAAAGTTACTGGCATATCGGGGAAGCTGTGAATCTTCAAGGTTTGTACAGGATCCCATCTTTCTAACAGTCTTGGATGGCGAAACAGGAGTAGAACAGGAGCACTAGTCTGAGCCTCAAGCCCTAGTGGTTTGAAGATAAAGAGAGACTGACTGAGACCACGGTTTTACCATAAACATTGAAAGACCAGATTAAAATGCAAGGGTTACCTTAGTTCTAATTGTCAACGGTCCATCCAAGTGTATAAGTTAAAGGGAGGTTTAATGCCTGATTATAACTATGAACTAGGTTATAATCAAACAATATCCACAGGCTTAACGGTGCATTAAAGCTTATCTATTTTCACCCATAGAAAAATGTGTATAGAGAACTAGAGGACTTTCCAACCTCCTAACTTCCGTTATATTTTATTCAATCAGCTACACATGGCCATGTTGCCAACTGTTGTTCCTGCTGGGAAATTAGAAAATGTACACCAGATTCTCTGACCTAACCTCATCCTTCAATTACTATCTGGCTGTCACACAGACAGTGCCCAGTTCCAGTAGGAAGGAATACGGGTCAAGACTTCTGGGGCCCTATATTGTTGAACTGACATAAATTAAGCTTGTCTACCTCAGAAGTGCATGACAAAGCTCTCACTGTCTACTCTTAAGGACTTTTGTTTGTCTACAAAGCGTGTAAGAGTTATGGTGCAAATTATAAGGTTTCAGCATTTTGGGTGGTACATTGTTTCATTACAAAATACAATTCTGAAGCATGAAAATGCTGTCTGTAGTTGTAATAGGAAGTGGTGCATATTAAAACATCTGTTTGAATGAGTATATTTCGATCAGAACCAACTAAAACAGTGGATGCACCATGTGTGAATATATTTTTATATCTAATTCATTATTTGTGAATTTCATGTACTACTCACACTTTCCCTCATTCATGGATATTTCAACTTGGTTCAGTTAGAATATTCTTGCATTATTCATACGAGAAAATCCAGGTAAACTTGTGCAAAAAATACAGGCCAAACTGTATTTTTGAGAACTCCAGTTAAACTTTGTTTTTTCTCTCTCTTGTCATAATGTAAGTCCTTCTGCATCCATTGTCTTTTTTAATGAAATATCCAAAAACCCACCAATCGTCTCAATGTTAAAATTGAAACATTCTATTTGGATTAATAAAAGTCATAGGCACATTTTATTTTCCAGTAATACTTTCTAGGTTATTTTATTACAGTTAATCTCATATTTATCAGTACTTGACATCAAGATTAAATTCTTTGTCTCCTAGCTCTCTTGGCATCTTCTCACTTACTTTGCCTCTTTTTGTTATTTATTACTATTTTCTTTGTGTGTTTGCTTCATTTATGTTAATTTGTGTAAAAGCACCCATGAAGGTCTCTTTAATATTTTCAACGTGCGTTTTTGTTTACACACGCCCATTGACACAGACATATGCTTCCATTACACTTTGTCAAGTACTCTAGTAGTTTATACAGCTCACTTCTGGCTACCACTTAGATGACTTTTATAATGTCCTAGTTACCTGAAGAAGGTACATTTGATAGTGAAGTAGTGTCATCTGGACTTTTGTGGAATAAATGGTCACTGGTAAAATTCAGATGAACTGAGACTTAAAATACATTTACCAAGATTAAAATTTGCCCTTATTGGCCACAAACCTGGCATATCTTCTGCAAAGATTAGCGTAAAATCCAACATGCGTCAGGTGATTTACCCTACAGAGTCTTCATGGCTCAGCTAAATTTTCAGAGAGATATTCTTGAAATATCGTATGAATTTTTTTCTTCAGTAAATCCACATTGCCTTGGAAAATAAGTAGTCACAATGTCCTTTTGACCATTGAATTCTCAATCACTTTATCATTCTAACTGTCAGTAACTGAGTAGTAGTTGCAAAATTTAGTTAGTCCATGCATTCTACTGGACCTTCCTAGCTAATAGTTCAGAAAGCAAAGTACACCACTTTCTTTCAATCATTGGTTGCACAAACCAAATACTCTCTTAGCTTTGAAGATTAGGCAGAAATTCCATAACGTAGTGCATACATTGTATTTCTCATAGTGTTTGATGGGTTGGAAAGCAAAGGATTATGATGCTTTTTGGCCAGCAGTCTTCCAACTACCTGACCAACCTAGCTTTCATAATCAATTAATTCTATCCATATTGGTTGGAAGGCTGAAGATGGCATCTTGATTACACTTCTATATCCAATAACTACTCATCTGGCTTATTGAAGACTGCCAAATAGGTATTTGCTGCTTTCTGTTCACAATTGAGTGGAGTTTGATGACTTGTGATAGCATCTTTGTCCTCCCATGATTCATCCTCCTCTTCCCAAGACTCCGATTCAAACCAGTGCACCAAGGGTTCATTTGTGATTGTGGATGCAAGTTATCAATGTGTTCCATGTGTTTTCATGCACATTGCACCCATTGTATCTCATACAGTAGAGGAAAAACTTATTGAAGTACCAAGTACAGATTAATCGAGCTGTATCCACGTTATTTCCATACTGTTGGTATGTACCATAACCACGTCTATTTGCCACATTGGTATGTCTGTTTTTATATCATCTAGTCATAACACCTTTTCTGTCTCTGTGCTCTCATCCTATGCATTGGCCATTGTTGACCTTATCCACTCTACATAATCTTGTGGGCACTGTGGGACTTTTCCTGATGGTGGAGGGCCATAATTCTAATTTGAACATGGGTAGGTTTGGGGAACATCCTGTTGATTCCTTTTATATTGCTCTGTATGCCATCATTATATACAGCAAGTGCTCATCCCAATTCGTTCTGGCAGGTTTAACAAACTTACAAGCACCCACCTGGTAGTTTGTACTGTACACACCATCA